TGTTAGAGAGAAATGTGGCTAAACAAATTAGAGCTAGCCAAGAATTAGTTTAGAGAAGGAAATACCAGAAGATTTTTTTTTCTCTTTTTCAGCTTTTTAGGTATGACTAAATGAAATAATCATAATAATGGAATGAATTTTCAAATCTAATAGAAGAACTAGAAGTGTTTCATAGAACTCTATTAAAAGACAGTAACGAAAGAAGAAGTGGCATAAATGTAACTAACCTTAAGTTTAAGAAATTAGATAAGTTTAAAGATGAAGTGGCATAAATGTAACTAACCTTAAGTTTAAGACATTAGATAAGTTTAAAGATAGTTTTTTTTTTTTTTTTTTTTTTAGTGTACGGCTTCAACATCTAAGGTCATTAGCCTAGTGTTCTATGTAGGTTATGGATTGTACTAGTAGTCTAATACTCCATAGTGTAGAAGTATTAGTACTCTAATACTCCTACACCCCTACAGACAGGCCTTGTTACTGTTTCCTTGCGCCACTTTAGGAACAGCACTGTTAATTAGAACCCAACAGTGAATGGTCGAGTGGTAAAGATAGTTTTAAAGAGGTAAAAATATTATTTAATAAATCAGACGTAGATTTTCGCTCAAAATCTTATATTAAAGAACTTGCAAATGTTGTTGATGAACTTATTGAGGCAATTACAATTAATTTAGTTGAAAGATTACAGTTTTCGCACCACATAGAGCAAACTAACCGGGAAACCAATTTAGAATCTGACTCTTCTCTTTCAGATTGCTCAAATAAAGTTAAAATGGCTGAAAAGTTTGATTTAAAAACCGCGGCTAGTCTGCTACCAGTTATGAATGGTACCGAAACTGTTACTAATCAATTAATTGATGCTATTGAGTTGTATGACGCTATGCTTGATGCTGAAGGAAAGAAATTATTAACAACTTATATTCTAAAGAAAAGTCCAAGTCAAAATACAAAAATTAGACCAAATAAAATTTATAATAATAATCAAAAACTAGTTAGTGATCTTAAAAATTTTTCATTTCTAAAAATCTTCAACATCATTAGCTACACAACTACATAATGCTAAGCAAGGTTCAAAAACTATCGAATAGTTTGGGAAAACGTTAGAAGAATTGTTAACCGACTTAACGCTTACTCAAGCCAACAATAAAAAATAATCTTCAGATTTTAGGTAAATTAAAAAAATTGCTCTCAACACTTTTGCAAATGGATTGTGAAATAGGAATTTGCAAACCATTATTAAAGCTCGAAATTATGTAAAACTGAATGAAGCATTCCAAGAAGCAAAAGATGAAGAAATCAATTTTAATAATGACAATGCATATCATATGAGAGGTCGTCAACATTTTAAATCTAATTATAGAGGCAATAATAGAATTTCTAGACGGTTTAATAATCAAAATAATTGTAATAAAAATTATTCTAGAAATAATGTTAGTTTTAACAACAGATGACATATATACCGGGGTAGATTTAACAGTAACATGAGAGGAAATAATTTTAGAGGCAAAGATAGGAGAATATTTCATGTAGATAACTCGGATAAATCAAATGTTACTAAAGGTCATAGCTCAGAAATCCCTTCAACGAGTGGCACGTTTTTTCGTGCCTAAAAATATGACATATAATAACTATAACATATTTTCCTTAAATGGCTTAAATTTTGTAGAATTTTTCTTTAAAAATCATAAAATAATATTTCTATTAGATACAGGTGCTAGCGTGTTATTTTAAAAAATAGTATATTTAATAATGAAGTAGTTGATGTTTACCAAATAAATGGTATATCTGGGTTAGTAGTATCATCTGGCATAGTGATTATTAAATTACATTTCAAATTTGGAGTTTTTCTCTTTATCCGTTTCAAAATTCGAAATTTGCACTTTTTCTCAAATATCTAGAATACGGTCTATTTTAGGTAAATCATGTATAGAACAAAAATAATAGAGAATGACATCACTAGCAACTTTTATCATGATTCCTATACTTTTCTTATCTGTATACAGATAGAAAAGTAAAAAATAGCCTTCGCAGTATTTTTTTTAGGCAACCCATTTGCGGTATATTTATTGACATATTTTATTAAATAAAAAATACCTTTTATCCGGTAAGCAGATGGGTGAAGGTCCACCTTATTCCATATACTGTAACTATGATAAAATTTTGATGAAAATGATATGAAAATTTGTTGAAAATGTGATGAAAATGTTAGGAAAACAAAAAATTAATTCAAACCACTACTTTAAAAACATATGAATTTGGGTTTTATCTAATTAAATAATTCATTTCTTGGGTCAGTCTAATTTAATTAAAGCCTAAAAAAGAGCAAAGTATTATCATATTGATATTTGTATTGGTGCCTGCTACAAAATAAGCCGATTTAAACTTACAATGTTATACAATTTGGGCGGCAGACGGCACTGAATTACAATTTTTAAATCGTTTTTCCATAAACTTAAAACGGCTTAGCCGATTCTGCTTAAATTTGGTACGTTGACAGAGTTTTGTAAAAAAAAAACGTATTAAAATTATAACTAATATTAGTCCATAGATGCAGAACTTGATTTTTTTCAATAATTGAACATTCAAAATTTCTACACCAATGGAAGAAAAAATATTCGAGTGTAAAATTTTGATTGCTTAACTCATTTACTACAAAAAAGGTTACTCTTGATAACACTCGATTACTCTCGTGGTTTTGGAGAAATTAATATTTTAGTAAATACATTTTTTTGTGAAAACTAAACTCCGAATTATTAAAATACACATTTCGACTAAAACATGAGAGTAATCGACTCTTACCAAGAGTACCTTTTTTGTAGTAAATAAGTTATGTAATCCAAATGTCATACTCAAACCCCCTTTATTCAATTAGCGTAGGAATTTTAAATGTGCAATTATTGAAAAAAATTAACTTCGTACTGAGGTAAGTTTACTTAAATCAGCTTGTTTTTAGTCTATTGAATATGTAGTACGTTTTTGTAAAGACCCTTAACGACCCTGTATCACTGAAATGAGAGTGAAAACCTATGTAGTCTATTCTGTATCATGCAGTTGCTAGCTAGCAAGTGGCTTAGACCAAGGTCAGTCGTTATGTTACCACTTTGAAAAAATCAGAATTCTCTAAAGTAAAATCTGTAACTAGTGGTTATAAAAGTGGATTTCGAGTGAATTAGAAGCAATCAAATATTCTTGGTGGTTAAGCATAATAACTATATATATAGTTGCTGGGAAAGAAATATTATCCAAAGGTTGTTTTGGATAATAAATATTTAAATACATCAATAAATTAATATGAGGTATGTTTATTGATAAGAAAATCGGAACTTATCATATTTTTTTCTATTTTAGGAATAAAGTAGTCTTCAGCAAAGCCTACTATTTATTGCTTGTGATCTTCAGATCGTCAAAAGGCCTGCAGATCTACTTGATATAAAATTGCATAATACATTTTTACATTAAGGTTTTTATTTAATTTCAAGCTAGACCACCAACAAAATGTAACCATTTTCAAATGATAAAATTACACTTCACTTGACGTCCCGGCACTTCCGACTCGAAGGTTAAGTTGTTAAAAGCCTGATATACACCACACTTACAAGTTATATTATTTTTATAGCAACCGTATAACAACTTTGACAAAAGTAGCTATTTTAGTATTCACAGTGACTATAAAGTTGTATGTGTGGTGTAAATCAGACTTTTGACAACTTAACCTTTAAGACAGGAGGGACGGGACCAATGAGGTTTATATCTCCCGGTCATGGACGTTTAGTGAAATATAATTTATTATTTAGGAGTTTTTATATTTTGTTGGTGGACTGATTTGAAATTAAAAAAAGTCATAAATATGTCGTAATTGTAAACATTCATCAAGACAGGAAAATTTCATGTGCAATTTTATCGCAAGCAGACATGCAGGTCATTTGAAGATCTAAGAGGTGGTTCTTATAGACAGCTCTCAGTGACGTTATATATCAACCGGCAAACGTTTTGGAGAGCTGAGAGGCAGGTTTTAAATTCCCCTGAAGGATGCACAATAGGCATATTAAGGCCTAAGTGACATGGAGGGTCGCCCCTTCTTACATATACAGATCGAAAGAATTAATATAGGCTTTGCTAAAATCTTACTTCATTTCTAAATCAAAAACCATTAGAAGAAATAATATATGTATTTAGTTCTGATATCTATTATTCTATCAGTAAAAATACCTTCCATTAATTTCTTGGTCTATTAAAATATTTATTATTCAGAGTCCATAATATTTATTTTTTAGCAACTAGTTGTTACGCTTATCCATCAAGAATATTTGGTTGCTTCCAAATAACTCTGAATCCACTTTTATAACCACTAGTTGTTACAGGTTTTTCTTACAGAATTCTGATTTTCTCAAAGTGGTAATATAACAACTGACCTTGATCATATCAACTTGATCGGTAGCACAACTGTATACAGCATAGACTAATTTAGCAATCGTGAATATTTATTATTTATTTATGTCAAAGTTGTAACACACAGTTGCTATGAAAGTGGTAAGATAGCAAGTGGTTAGAAAGTTGCCAGATAACAACTATAGTTACAGAATAGACCCCTATATCGTATTAACAAAAAAAAATTGAACAATGTTAGGGGTGATTCCAAGGGGATGATTTGACAAGAGGGTTGTTTTGAGTTCACCGTGCAAAAAATACTTTTTTATCCACAGCAAATAATAATAATAATAATAATAAGAGCCAGCGCTTCTCCAGAAAAGCTCTGCTTTTGAGGTTAAAATTCACTCATAAGGGGGTGAATTAATGAGAGTATATCTTATCAAATAACTTATGATAATAGCTGGCCAAAAACCTACGGGACACTCGGTATATCTGACGAATCGGTCATACAAAAAGATGAACATTCCACATTTTTGACAAAATTTCGTTTAAAAGACAATGCTTTAGTAGATTTAACGATAAATAAAAATAAATTCGTTACCCAATTTATTAACAAAAAAAATCCTATTTACCGTAGAATGATTAGCTTCTGACCACCTCCTTTGCATATCACTCTTGTCACTATTTTCTTTAGCAGTTTCCAATACCACAGTATCACTTTTATGTTTATTTCTCAAAGTATTCTTAAATCCTTCGAAAAAGTTCAGTCTTGATCTGGGATTATTGTTTTTGTGATCGTTCAAGTCATCCTCTGATGGTATACCGATGGTGTTCGCTTTGTGGACATAATGATTTTTTCTGTGAGACTTACTGGGTTCCGAAGGAGACCCCTGCGGTAGGGCTCTTCTGAGAGGGGCCACTTCCCACACTGAGAGGTCGGATAAGGAACTGGTAGGTTAAAAAAAAAAGAAAAAATTTAAACAAAAAGCAAAATAAAAATCAAAAACTAAAGAAATAATGAATTCAGTTCATATAAAGTGGTTTTAAATCTCGAAAATATTAATCCGTTTTAAACCATTGTTATATAAAAGAATCCACTCTTCAATAATTATAAATAAGAATATGAAAAAATACCGATAATATGAAACGTAAAAGTAATATTAAACTAATTATAAATATAAAATATAGAAGCAATATTAAAAAATAACGCATAAAAATCAAAAACGAAAAAAAAACTAACAAAAACATAAGAAAAACACCTTTGTTTAAAGTTTCAATTTTTATTCTATTGAAAATGTTGTGTCTCATCGCTTATCAATGAATATATTTATTTACAAACATACATCCTATGTACAATATTCAACTTATAATTAATACAATAATAAATTAAAACGTATCTCACTTGTAGACTTAGAAGAGTATTATTGTGATATAAATAGGTATTAGAATTTACCGCATGATTATCCTGGTGACTTGCAATAAAATAAATAAATTAAACTCCTAAAAATGATTCAAACATATATTAAACTAACAGATTTTTTAAACTTATTTTATAATTAATTTAAATTTTAACTAACAGATAATTTGTTATAGTAGTCATTTTATAAGAACGTTTCTATTAATTTAAAATGAATTGCAAATATTTGCACAATTAAAAAAATTTTACTACACAAACTTTGACTAGGGGTTGCTAGAAATGGTCTTATAACATTGAATGGTCCAGTGAATCATTCCCGTTAGAAAATAGTTAAGGAAAGATGTATTGAAACATTAGAAACCTTATAGTCCATGTTAATATAAGAACGACATTTTTTGCTTGTATTTATTAGTCAAATCCAGGAACAATAAATAGCTTTTAACAAATATTATATTCTAAATTAAATTTACTAATTAATTAAATTTAATACAATACCCTGTTTTTTGTTTTGATTTTTTAAAACGTTTAAAATAAAAAAAGTTCTAGGATAATACCACAATAGATGAGGTATTTCGGAAGGATTTTGTTGAGTAAAATTTGCATAATTTTTAAGGAAACTACAAAATGATCTCAAAAAAATTTCTCACTTCTTGTGGTATTTGGAAAGATTATTTAACAATACAAACAGAATTTAAGTTTTATTTAACGTTAATTTTATTTGTTTACAAAATTAATAGTAATAATTTAATATTTTCACAAACAAATCGAATTTTGTCCATTTTTCGTCGCCTTTTTGACAAACTTCACATTGATACGTTACTCTGATACTGAATTGAATTTTTTAAATCCATTCGGGATAGAGTGAAAACACTACACTATGAGTGTTTTCAAATATAGTTTTTTTGATTTGCGTGTTTGAAAAAGGAGGATTGTCATTAGTTGATATATTATAATGTTAAATAATCTATTTCAATAATTTTTTTAAATAAATTTATGATGAAATAATGATTGACCAGTAAATATTATAGTGTATTAAAAAAAAAGATTAAAAAAACATTGATATTATTTTGATTTATAATTTCTTACATTAAGTTACTCAAGTTTACTAGATTTAGATCATAACACTGAAATTAGATAGCATTTTTCCAATAAGTGGATATATTACTTTCTGCCAAGAAATTTTGAATCTAACATAGTTAGGGGGTAAAAAGAACATGAAATTGACGTAAAGAAGAAACACACAAAATGAGTGATTAAAAAACTGTGATTTCTCTGGATCAGAATTTTCATTTAACAAATCATAAAGTACAGAACAGAATAAATATTTGGTAAACTTTAAGGTAATCTCGGTGTTAAGATATAAAAAAATCATTCAAAACCTTACTTTTCTCACTACATCTTTTTAATTGAAATGCATTACTATCTCATAAACCTTTGGTAACATAACGTTGGTTAAATGGACCCAATCAGAGGACGTTAAAAAACAAATTAGTTTAATTTCTTTATTCCACTACGGAATGTTTATTTTCAAAAATAAACGAAAACTCATTCAAGGTTTTTTGTTTTATATAAAGTTGCGCATAAGTATCATGGAGAATTATTTGTGTTTATCCGACGTTTTGTAAATACAGGTCCACCATCAACATTATTGTATTCAGCATTGAACATGCTTAAAATAGTCTGTCAGTTCACATCCAAATAAAGAAGTTGATGGTGGTCTTACATTTACAAAACGTCGTATAAAATATTAAATGGGCTATCTGTGCAGAACATGATATAAAATAAAAAACCTTAAATGAGTATTTGTCTATTTTTAAAAATAAACGTACTGTAGTAGAATAAAAAATGGAACTAATTTATTTCCTCCAAATATTTCGGAAACCGTCCCTGGTATTTGGGTTTTCAAAGCGTCCTTAAATTGGGTTTCCAAATATACAATTTAGCCAACTTTGTGTCATCAACGACTTCAATTAAAAAGTGATCACCCTGTATACTTTCTTGACGATACAAAACGATCATTAAATTACTAAAATATGAAACGATAGCACCAAACATACTTTTTTCTAGTAATTTTTAGGAGTTTAATTTAATACTACATCCCAATAATTCTAACCTAGATCTTCAGATCTCTTATAATATTAACACAGAATATTTAGAATATTAAAAATCTTGAGGTAAATCCACAAACAAATAACTATTATATAAATCTAAAGTGTTGTCATGAGAAATATTTGAATGCTCATGTTCTGTACAGTTTTAGATATCTATAAGGTACCGAAAAATAAGTTTATTTTTATTAACAGCGAGACCCACCAACATGTATAGTTTTAAAGCTTATTTTTATATTGATGAGTGAATTTCTACTAGTTTTTTTTTTGTATTTGAGCAAGAAAGTTTAATTCAGAAAATGGCAAAGTTGTCAACGTGATATTGTAGATATGAAAATATGTGTTGTCTATACAGGGTGGTCCAGTTTATATCATCATGATTTTACCAGCCAATAGTTTATCGAAAAATAAAGGTGGTTTTTCTGATAAAATATGGTCCAATTTAGTTTAGTTTTTTGTATACAAGGTGTTAATTTTTTTATTAATATCTAAAAAAGCTTTGATCGATATTAATGTTGAATTTTTTAACAACTATATGAGGTGTCTTTCGGACATGTTACAGTTCATCCAGTAATTTCAGAGTCGTGCTTACAGGCTACTTTGATTAATTTACGTCAAAAATATCGCCCAGTAGATATTTGGAATGTTTCATATTTTTTTAAAGATACTAACTAAATATACAAATCTTTTGCTTCTTGTTTTTCGTATCTTTTTGTTTTCGAAGAAAAACTTTAAACTAACACTCTAAAGTCTTTGAATAAATACTTAAACATCAAAAAGAAAGCAAAATTGGATCATAGTTTAATGGACAAAGTACCTTTATTTATTTATAAAGTGGACCACCCTGGATATTGTATTTTAATTTAGAAATGTCTGTTAATCAATCATAAGATTGATTAAAATCAAAATTTATCAATAAAGAAGTATTGGACGGTTTTACAATTAAAATTAAATTTTATTGTCCATTTTTATTACAATGCATTTTTTTTTTAATAAACATTTTTAAATTAAATTAATAAATGATTCAAATTAATGTTACTGCTAAAATTGTGCTATTTACAACAAACTTATATCTATTCATTATTTAAGCAGTCAAAAAACAACTAATGTCATTTCAACATGTCAAAATGTAAAAAAAATGGAGTGACACAACGAATATACAATGATTACTAACCAGGTAATTACTGTTTTTTTATTTATTGAAAAAATGCTCTGGTTCTCAGAATATCTATTAATTTGTTAATAAAGTAAAATAAAACGAAATCGCCTCTAATCTTTTGAGTCATGTCTCATATCTTGTGCAACGTTTTCTCATTTACCTAACAGTTAATAAAATCACAGTACTACCATACGCTGCTTATCAGGAATAAATAGATTGAATTAAAATTTGCCATTTTCTTAAAAAAACAGAACATGAGCATCGTCGTGTCTATCTAAATTTGCCAAGATTCATGAGTGTACAAGAGTAATAGGTACATATAAACTTCGACAAAGCCAAACAATATTTTATATCAAGTATCTCATCTCATTCAATTTGAATGACTAAAAAAATTAAAAACGTAAATAAAATATTTTTGGATTCCGTAATTACAATTTGTTTAGTCCCCATCACCATTATATTTTTTTAATCACAAGCCATTTGATCGGTATCTTATAAACGGTGTGTCGCGAAATAGCGAAAATATTTAAAAGAAGCTATTCCCAGGTTTTAATATTATACATCCCAAACAATGCACATACGTAAAAAAAAAAATTCTAAAGGATCATGATCATTTTTTAAAAATAATAAAGGATTATTAGGCTTTGTATTAAAAATAGACTCTTAAAAATAAGTTATGTAATCGGGAATGTTTTATGGCGACAAAAAGAGTAAAAACAGAAAATAAAACTCTAAAGATATTCTCTAGAAGAGCCTCATTCAGAAATTCATTATCCTTTCTACAATGTGGGTACTTAAACAAGTGTGCACAACACAATAAGAAATGAAGAAATGTTAAAGCAGGATGTAGATTGTAGAGAGAAGTTATAATAAAGCATGTGGAGTTTCAATGTCCTTACTACAGGACATTTATCAATAAGCTAAGAATATTCCAGCCAAAGAAAAAAGCTCTAGACAAAACTGCAAATTATGATCAAAATGAACAATAATCCTCATTATAGTATCGGCAACGAGGATAATATATTAGTCATCAATAAAATATGATTCCAAAATTGACTATTTTATATCTTACAACCAGTTGATCATTTTTGTTTTACTAGTAGATGAAGAAGGCTGTTACGGGTTCAGTACTTCAAAATCCGCCGCTATCAGTGGCGAGAATCTAAATTTGACGAAAAAATAAATATAAATCTGAACCTCGTTATTATTGATCTGATTCGAACAGGGAAAATGTTATATAGATGACATACATAATGAAACATAC